ATATAGGGGACAAACACAGTGATATTTGAGAAGTGAAATGAAGTTGATATGATTTTCAGAAAGTGTAATTAGTTAAACAAAATTAGGCAGGTGCATAAATGTGGGCACCATTGTTGTTTCATTGATTTCAAAACCTTTAGAACTAATTATTGGAACTCAGATTTGGTTTGGTGAGTTCAGTGACCCTTGACCTCCATACAGGTGATTCCAATTATGAGAAAGGGTATTTAGGGGGCAATTGTAAGTTTTTCTCTGATTTTTTTTATTCTAAACAATCAATGATTTATAAAGGTAAATCAGGAAAATTAACAAAGCTGCCCAAACTTTCACACCCCACTGTAAACGTGTTAGCTAAGATAAAGTGTAATTTATACAAGTGGAAATACAGTCAAATAATGAATAGTTGTAAATTCATGCTTTTGACACCAGCCTATTTAATTCTGAATGAAAATTTTTGAAATATCATCTGAAAAGTACTCCAAATACCATGTTCCAACTACAAAAACCAACAGGCAAATTTATAATAAAATGGAAGAATTCAGGTGTTAAAAGCATAAATTAGGTGCGATTGTTTAGCAGCACATTATGTACAGATAACATTCATGAGATTCCTTTTCAGTGGTGATTTTATTCTGAAAATTTCTCTCATCAGTTCAGGAATCCATTTCTGTGGAGGGACTCTGATCCACCCTCAGTGGGTTCTGACCGCTGCTCACTGTCTGGAGAGGTTGGATCGTAGAAAACACATTAAAAGAGCAAATAATGAAACAGACACTGGATAATTGGTATGTTTCGAAATSTTCTGTTGCTGCAGGTCCAAACGGCCCTCAGCGTATCAGGTGGTCCTGGGTATCCACAGGGAGGCCGGCCTGGAGCCGTCAAAACAAACAAGGCAGCTGGAAAAACTGGTTCTGGAACCAAACAATGCTGATATCGCTCTGCTTAAACTAGACAGGTCAGTAAAAATCGAATTAGCAACACTATTGGAAAATTCTGGAGGCATTCTCATTTAAAAAAATTCTTCCAAAGAGCAAAATGTTGTTGTTTTCGTTACCTTTCTGATCAAACGCTCAGTATTTCTACGAGTCGTCCAAAGTTTTATTTTGACTTTGGCTGCTTTTCCATTCATTTTCTGTTCARTTCTTGTACYCAACCACCAGGATAGTATGTTGTGAAGTGTGTGGTTAAAAAATAAGATAGAGGACGAGTAAAGAAATAAAAGAAGAAATGCCAYATCTGAGACCCTGTGTCCTCATAAGAGGACATTACTTTTTTGATTTTCTAAACTATAATACTGACCCATTGGCCTCATTAAAGACACTACTAGGACCCTCCAGTGGTCACATGATGACATTACACTTGTTTCAGTGAACACAAGATGTTTGCCGTTAACCAATTAAAATCATATTTCATGGTTAAACTGGTGTATTTATGCACAGTTACATATATACATGTAGCTTCGTAAGACATGTGCATTTGACAAAAGTTTGAAATTGTAGCAAAATACAACGTTGGTAAAGAAAGTCCTCATTTGAGGACATCAGGACYATTTTGTTGTTGACTGAGCTGTGCCATTAGATGAATATGGGAATATTTAAAACAGGTCACAAGTGTAGTTAGTTATAACAAGTTGTAAAATTTGTTCAACCAGTTTATTACACCAAGGATGTTCTGGTTAAAATTTCTGATTTCTTGCCATCAAGTAATTGGTTCTTCAAACTGAGGAGCAATCTGAAAGTAGTTGATGATTATRCAAATCACTGATCTTGCTCTGGTCCTTTTCCTGGCAGCAGCATCTCTGACATCTTCCTACCAATATACCCACTGTCCCTGTAGAATTTCACACCTTGTGGTAYAGTTTAGAGTGAACTTGACTGTTAGATTTAGTTTACACTAATGAAATCCTGGATGTGTTGAAGCTGCGTAAAATTTTGAGCTGTTGTTTGTGTGTTTTTAGAGCTGCTGTCATTAATGACAAAGTACTGCCAGCCTGTCTGCCAGAAAAGGACTATATTGTTCCCAGTGGAACCGAATGTTACGTCACTGGATGGGGTGAGACTCAAGGTACGTCACAGGACTGATGGAGTGGTCAAGTCACAGTCATAAAGTCCAAAATATCATCAGTTGTCCTTTCTTAAACTCTTTGGGACGAAGATATAAACACACTGCCAATATTTTAAAACTAATGTGTGTTTGGASAGCCAAGATAATACTAAAAATTAAGACAGTAGTATAAAAAAAGCATGAAAGCAAATATTTTTAGAATTTAGAGAAAAGCATTATAAGCAATAATTATAATTTCAAGTAACTGAAGATCAACAAAAATTAGATTCTTTGTTGATGGTGATGATTTTTGGAAATAAAGATCAGTCAATGACCATTTTTAAATCGTATTTTTAAATTTATTTTCATTTATTGAAACATAATAGCATTTTACCTAAATAATATATTTATCAAACAGAAGAAATCAAAATTGTGGGATATAATCACTTGATGATATTTTTCCCTTAATAATCAGGTACGCACAGGTACTGAATGACAATTTTCTTTTTCTTTTTTTATCAGTCTGTTTTTAGTTGTTTTTAAAACATGCTGAGATTTCTAAACTCAGCAGCAAACTGAATAACGGAGAAAATCATCGTTATTAAACACATTTATTTCTGTCCTGATGAAGAAACGGTGTGTTGCAGGCTCCGGAGGTGAGGGTTACCTGAAAGAAGCTGGTTTCCCTGTCATCGAGAACAGGGTGTGCAACCGTCCGTCTTACCTGAACGGCAAAGTCCGAGACCATGAGATGTGTGCAGGAAACATCGACGGAGGAATCGACAGCTGCCAAGTACTAAAAAACTTTTCACTTCTGTAGATTTTGTGTTGTATTAACTGATGGAGGGAAAAAATATGCCAGACTCAGCCATCAGTTATACCTGGACAGGTACATATACAGTATAAAGCAAAGTTAAAACACATCTCAACAAATACGTACAAAAGAGAGTTAGGTCCACTGAMAGAAGAGAAAAAGAAAATTCTGAAATTAAATTAAGAATTCTTTTATTTTTTTAGTGCCCCTATCCTCTTTTTTAAATACCTCACTGATACTTAAAACATTTTCAATTTCAAATCAAACAGAACAGGTGGAGCAGTGGTTAGAATTGTGGTGTCACAGCAGGATGGTCGCAGGTTCGCCTGTTGACCTGGGGCCATTCTGAGTGGTGTTTACGTGTCCTCTCTGAATGTTTTGGTAGATGAACCGCTAAGGTAGGTGAGAGTGTGCAAAAGGAGTTAAAGGTGGTTTAAATGGGCAAAACATTAGCAGTTGTAGCAAAATGTCGGTAAAAGGTCCTCATTTGAGGACATGGGGACTATTTTTTGTTTTTGATTGTGCCATGCAGATGGATAAACCTGGGAATATTTAAAACAGTTTACAACTGCAAATAGTTATAGCAAGTTGTAAATTTTTTCAACCAATTAATTTCACCAAGGAAGTTCTGGTCAAATGCTCTGTGAGTTCAGGTCTCAGGGGAAGAAGCCTAAGCAAAGAAACCCTGACTTCCCTCTCCCCAGCCACTTGGGCCAGCTCATCCGGGGGAATCTCAAGGTGTTCCCAGACCAGCCAAGAAACATAGTCCCTCCAGTGTGTCCTGGGTCTTCCTTTGGGCCTCCTCCCAGTGGGACGTGCCCAGAACACCTCACCAGGGAGGCATCCAGGAGGCATCCTAACCAGATGCCTGAACACCTCAACTGGCTCCTCTCAATGTGGAGGAGCAGCAGCTCTACTCTGAGTTCCTCCTGGATGACTGAGCTTCTCAACCTCTCTCTAAGGGAGAGTCCAGACACCGATGAAGAAAACTTATTTCGGCCCCTTGTATCCACAATCTCGTTCTTTCGGTCACTACCCAAAGCTCGTGACCATAGATGAGGACCGAACATAGACCGACCGGTAAACAGAGAGCTTTGCCTTCTGGCTCAGCTCTCTTCACCATGACAGACCGGTACAGCGCCTGCATCACTGCAGATGCAGCACCAATCCACCTGTCGATCTCCCGCTCCATTCTTTCCTCATTCGTCAACAAGATCCCAGGATACTTAAACTCCTCCACTTGGAAGATCTCCTCCCTGACCCGGAGAAGGCAACCTAACCTTTTCCAGCTGAAGACCATGGTCTTGGATTTGGAGGCACTGATCCTCATCCTGGTCACTTCACACTCGGCTGCGAACCGCTCCAGTGAGAGATGGAGATCAGGATCTGATGAAGCCAAAAGGACCACATCATCCGCAAAAAGCAGASATGTGATCCTAAGGTCACCAAAAAGGATCCCCTCAACACCTTGGCTGCGCCAAGAAATTATGTCCATAAAATCTATGAACAGAATTGGTGACAAAGGGCAACCTTGGTGGAGTCCAACTCTCACTGGAAACGAGTCCGACTCACTAYCRGCAATGCGGACCAAGCTCTGACACCGGTCGTACAGGGACCTAAAAGCCCGTATCAATGAGCCTGGTACCCCATACCCCCGGAGTACACTCCACAGGAGTTCCCGAGGGCACGGTCGAACGCCTTCTCCAAGTCCACAAAACACATGTAGACWGGTTGGGCAAACTCCCATGCACCCTCCAGGACCCTGCTGAGGGTGTAGAGCTGGTCCAGTGTTCCACGACCAGGACGAAAACCACACTGCTCTTCCTGAATCCGAGATTCGATTATCCGACAGACCCTCCTCTCCAGAACCCCTGAATAGACCTTACCAAGGAGGCTCAGAAGTGTGATCTGCCTATAGTCGGAACACACTCTGCAGTCCCTCTTTTTAAATAGGGGGACCACCACCTCGGTCTGCCAATCCAGAGGAACTGCCCCCAATTCCACAATATTGTAGAGTCACATCAACCAACACAACACCACAATATCCAGAGCCTTAAGGATCTCCAGGCAAATCTCATCCACCCCCGGCACCCTGCCACCGAGGAGCTTTTTAACCACCTCAGTGACCTCGGCACCAGAGATTGGAGAGTCCGACCCAGGGTCTTCAGGCTCTGCCTCCTCATGGGAAGCTGTGTCGGTGGGATTGAGGAGGTCTTCGAATTATTCTTCCCACCGACCCAMAACATCCAGAGTTGAGGTCAGCAGTGCACCATCCCCACCATAAACAGTGTTGGTGGCGAACTGAGATGCCGGATGGTGGACCAGAATCGCCTCAAAGCAGTACGGGAGCCTTTTTCCATGGCCTCTCCGAACTCCTCCCACAAACGAGTTTTTGCCTCAGCGACACCGATTACAAACCACACTAAAGTTATTGTTAAGCCACTGCTTTAAATAAAAAATAAATACAGAGGGAAACTCACAGTATATAAAAGGCTTGATTCCATAAATTATTTTTTTGTTCCGCTCTGAGGATGTTTTCCTGTCCAGTTACCTTGAGCACAAATAAACTCATCATATTTTCTAGTGTATATGTCAGCTAATGTTTTTTTTTTCCCTGCAGGGTGACAGCGGGGGTCCTCTGGTTTGTTACGCAGAGAACAGGTACGTCCTGCAAGGAGTCACGTCGTGGGGTTTGGGATGCGCTAACGCCATGAAACCCGGCGTCTACGCTCGAGTCTCAAAGTTTACAGACTGGATCGATCGAACAGTTAAAGCCGGCTAAAAAGACCCACCAATAAATATGGAAGTGGCGTTGACAAACGATTGTTAATTCACAGAAATGAACATTCACTCGAAGGAAAATGTATTTTAAAAATCCATGTCCTTGTTTTGAAGCTGATTAAACAGTAGAAACACTTTAACTGTATTCTTGTCTTCTGTTTGGTAACCCTTCTCCCCTTCATTGGTCTTTTTCCTGAGAGAATCTTTTCACAGTAAACAAAATACAAAACATGATTTATTTTTAAATTTGTTTATGATTTTTCAACTGATTTATCAAAATGTTCTTTACAGGTTGAGATGGGGTTTTTTTTTTGCTCCATAACCAGCTGTAGTAAAATCTTTCTTTCAGTGCTGCTGTAAATTTCTAAACAGAATCTTAACTTTACTCTCTTAAATACACATCACAGGATTTTGCCACTAGAGGCCCTGCTAGTAGTGCTGATTTTTACCTCAATAGTAGCTGAAGGGAAACGCTGTAGTTGCAGAAAAGATCTTTGGATAATCAAGAGTATGAATATATCAGATCAACAAGAATAAAATTGTAATATATGTGAATTATATTAACACATCTATGGAAAAACGAAAACGATAAAAGTGTCTACAAACTAGGGATGATCCATTTTAAAACAAACATAAATTATCTGAAACAAAAATAAATTAATATATTTTACAGCAGAATTTACACAATTTAAGTTTATGTGATAGTTAAAATAATATTTAAAGAGGACGAAGCTCAGGGGAGCAGTTTTTAGTTTAGTTTCTGTTCTGAGCTGAACCGGAGACTTTATTAATCCTTTTAGCTGCATTTTCTTTGTTAAAAACGACTGGCGACAAATCGAACTTGTATTTCAGGTGGTTGTTTTGTAGCTGCTTWTGTTTGGAGACGGACTTCTRTCACTCTTTTTGACTTCTTCTGTCCAGCGGGTGCTGCTGAGCCCCTTCACCATAATAAAACACTCACAGACGGACACGCGTCACACTAGCCTCACGCCAGTCCCAGCTAGAGAGCTAGCTACAAGCTGCACATAATGTCAGACAGTTTGAATGTTGTGGACCGGATTTTGGCGAAGCCATTTGATGGTCTTCTTTATGAAGAAAAACTTAAATTTAATCAGCAGGGCTGATCAACTCAGATTAATTTGGTGCAAAAGGTGGGGAAATAGGTCTTTTCAGCTGTCCTGATATAACAGAGCTGGCTGCTGTAAAAGACTATAGAATAATCTGAAAAATGATTATAAAAGCATTGGATCAATTAATTTCTTTAAAAAAATGACCAAAGCAAAWTTGTTAAAGAAATATGAAATTGTTTAATTTGTATTTGTATGAGTCACTGTTTGAGGAGTTGAATTTTTTTAGTTTTGTTTTATTATTTGGTTTATTGTTTGAAATTAATATTTTTTGTAAATAAGAGCAGATATACGATCTTTTTCTTCTTCTGCTGCCTTTCATTTTATTTAATTTGTATTGTTTTGTTTTATGTAATGTTTTTTTTAATGAAATGAATAAATATTTCTTGAAAAGGAACGGTGGGTAGAATTTATAAACCGACATATTTTATTATGCAAGCCGAAATTGAGCTTCCCCTTCTTGAAAGACCAGCATCCGCCACTGTATCACACATCCTGTACATGTCCGCAAACAACGTAGTAGTCATACGCATCAAGTGATTCGTATGCTCGTAGCTTTTCTCTTGTGTACACGCTAGGTTTCTCCACCAAATACGTGCAAATATCAGGCCACTTACCAACGTCATCCTCCCATTAATAACTGTACACGGATCAGGAAGCTGATGGCCATTGCTCAAAGTTAACTTATTAAAGTAAGCTTTGCGCTCATTTATCGATAACCCGGTAGCGTAGCTTGATAATCCTCCACTAGCCGCCAGACTTACGTTGCCACGCTGCGCGCGCAGCTCCTTGATGGCGTAGGCTGTAAATGGGTCTATAAGGCTGAGTTCACATGAAACTCATCAGACTGAAGAAGTCTCTTGGAGGAGAGACGAAACGTTTCACTAAAGAAGAACCATCCAGAGGACCTACTGATTTTTTTCTTTTTGACTTCATGACATTGTAGTTCTGTTTTATTATTTTCATTTATTTAATAAATACACTGCCGTTAAACAACTTAGTACAATGTGTGTTTACTTTTTGAGATATGTCTATTTTGGAGTTGTAGCCCCCTGGAGAAAAATCCACCAGCCGCCACTGGTTTGCACTACTGTTTACATTTAATTTTCAGACCACTCTATGCTATATGCTCTACGCTGTTCTTGTTTCAATTCTTGGTACTTATATATTTTACACGTAGTGTGTTCATTTATATATTTATCTATCCCAGTTGTTAGGTTGTAGTATAATATTTGTACTATGCTGTAAATTTGGATGGGAGAGTAACAATTTCAGTCCTATGTATGTCTTGCACATGTGCAAAATTAACAATAAAACTACTTGACTTGACTTAAACTGGATAACTGTCATGGAAACCAGTGTCGTATAAAGTACCTCAAAGTGATACTTGAGTAAAATTACAAATATCTTATCATAAAAATACTTTGATAATAGTTAAAGTCTTCTCTAAAAATATTACTTGAGTAAAAGTCTTAAATTATCTGATATTTTTTGTACTTAAGTATCAAAAGTAAATTTCTGACACAAAATCTACTTAAGTATTAAAAGTAAAATTACTGAGTAAAAGTGAGCAGTTAGATTTTACAAAATAACATTTATTGGGAGGTGACTTCTCCAAAAAATATTTTTCCTAACGGCTTGCAGCTGTGATGGACTGTGTACAAAGTAATACGGTGTCAGAATGGTATATATTGATCCTTCTCATCCAAACACATTTAAATTCACTCCATCCAGGAGACACAAGATAGTTTTTTTTAAGTAAAAATAACTCAGAATAAAACAGGAGTAACGACTTTCTACTTCTTACCTGTTTTAAAAAAGTAGTGAGAAGAAAGTACAGATAATTGTGTAAAAATGTAATGAGTAAAAGTAAAAAGTACGCTGAAAAATAATTACTCAGGTAAAGTACAGATAACCAAAATTTCTACTTAAGTACAAAGTAACAAAGTATTTGTACTTAGCTACTTTACAACTCTGATGGAAATGCAGAGATTAGTGCTGAGAATCAGGTCACTCCGAGCTCTTATTTTGAAGGCCAACCGGCAAAACGCTACCGGAAGTCTTCTAGTGTCACTGCTGCTAACCTTATTATGGTTTTGTAGCTCCAAGCTAACGGTGTGTCTCGTGGCCTTCTGCTCAGAAGAGTTTAACTTATATTCAGCTGTAACAGGTCGGTAAATGCTGATGAGATGTGGAGACAGCAGGTAAAAACAGAAGAAGAAGAGAAGTCGGAGGATTTTATCAGAGCTAAAGTAGATGAAAACATGAAGATCCAGACAGAAACTGTTTACAGCCTCAACCATGAACTGCAGACATCAGGTTTGTGTGTTTTTATTCTTCCTCTTCAATGTGATCATGTTACAGTTTAGTAG